GCCTCCGTAGAGAGGAGCCGCTCCTGACTAAAAATATAAAGTATTTAAATATAAAAGGCTCATTCTAAGGTAAAGAACACAAGAAATAAAATTCATATGAAACACACTAGTAAAAACATCACTAAAATTGTTTATATTCAATTTCTGCCAACAGATCCCTTTCACACTGGACCTTTGATAGGCCAAATTTGATAATAATTTCAAATACTGTTGCAACACTGAAAGTGATCTAAATGATTTTGTAAATCAGTGTGTAATCAAACTCATATGAGGCTCACAAGACGAAAAACAAAACACTTCTCTCTCAATAATCACTTTGACCCAGTGATTGGATGTAATTTGATTTGAGTGTACTTGAGATGAAAATTCATTTTTGTTTTTTTTGCATGTTGAATTCCCACAATACCCAAACAAAGTCCTGAAATAGCTCACACCAAGGAACAGCTTACCGAACACAAGCTCTGGATGGATACCATCATGACTATAAACAAAACAGACAAGTTGCACCATTTACTCCACTACACAGACACAGCATCTTTATTTTTATTCCGCCCGGAGGCAGCACTGGCACAGAACAGGAGGATTTGGCAAACAACACTTGTTCAGAAGGGCAAATGTTGACTTTCAGCACAAGTAGACTTTAACTACAAATTCAAACTTTCTTTTTCACAACAAGACTAGGTCACAACCGAGTATATGAGCGTATGATCAATGTGTCCAGAGAGAGGTGCCTTGCACTCACAGGGTTGTACAGGCAACTCTCTCCAATGGAAAATATTTGTTTTTGTTTCATTTAGAGAAAAAATTTGCTAAAGGTCGAAAACAAGGATGCGATGTTGGTTTCAAGGTTAAACAACATATTTAATAGCTCATAAGACAACAGCTAACATTTGCATTCAACCGTTTCCTATCCACAAGGACTTTTTTTATATAATCTGGGAACAAGGAAGTGGTTGAAATGCTAACATGAGATGTTGTCTAATGGTAGCTAATCAAAATATGTTGATGCGTCATCACTAAGTAACAGATGTTGTGACATTATCAATCAATCAGGCAGCGACAGACACTTGTGTTTAAAGGACTGGTCCCTTTATCACGGTTCCTGCCAAAAAACAGCTTTTTGGAATCAAGTGAAGACGATCACACTTCAACCATTCACTTCAGGACAACTTTTTAAATTGGCTGCATTCAGACTCAACAAGCAAAGTCAATGGAAAAGAAAGGCAGCAAAACCTTGAGTCTGGACTGCAAGTGTGATTTGTTTACCTGAGTCTGTGAATGTTTTATTGAAGGATTTGTCACAAAGAGCTTCCTGGACCAAGAGATTCAAACATTCTGCTTTCAAAAAAATGACATCAATATCCTAAGGAATGAAT